CCTATTGTCTAAAACAGACAAATTAAACAAAAACAACTGATCTACAACTCTCATAGAAATTCTGTTGGTTTCCTGCAGTGACATTTAATAACAGATGTTAAGCCCAATTTTTGTAGTTTGGGGATACTGTTTGTTCAGAGCTTTTGATTGCCCCATATGACATTCTTTAATTTCATAAGAGTACAATTCAATTTCTACTGAAGACTGGGTGTTAGCTCCTGCCTCCAGCTGGTACCTTTTTTCTACAACTTAAAATACACAGTCTGCTCCCAGGAAACTAAGAACCATTCCCCTCCATCCTCCTGACCCATCTCCCAACCCCCAGAATTAACACCATGATTAACTACATGAGTTTTACCTTCTGCCTTGAGTGGATTGTGCTACTCAATAGCTCTGCCTTCATTTTGCTCCCTCTGTAAAATGAGGATAACAATGGAACCTACTATTCAGGGCTGTTGTGACGATGAGAAGAAATACTACATGAGAAGCACACGCTCAGTGCCTGGGTTGGGTGCATAGAAAAGCTTTCATCCATGTCGGCTGTTATGACTAGCGATTATTCTTAGATACCTTGGTGAATGATACATAGTATCAGGGGTTCAGATGACATGACCTCCAAGACTCTCTTTGGCAAAACTGTTCAATGCCAATTTTTAAGGCTTTATTCCTAATCCTCTTCTTTGGACCACTCTAATACCTTTTAGAGGCATGTCTCTTCCTCTTCCTCTTTCTGTTTTTGCCTTGATTTCTTGATTTATCTCCTTGTAGGAGATAAATCTCCTACAAAGCCAAGCCAAGAAGGATATGGCCTAATTAAAATCAGGAAAGTGAGATTTACTCTTAGTTACCTTTAGCCAGATAGGAGGAAACATTGTTATTGTTTATTTAAAGCAAAAGTCTGGCTGGATCTAAAATTACAAGAAAGGAGAAATGTGGGAAGCCTTTTCCCCTGTTTGATGATAAAGGTAGCATACTGCTTAACATCCCCAGACTTCAAGGAGAGAACTAAGCTTATTTTCTCACCAACTGTTGTAACCCAGCCCTGAGACTCATTTGCATGGAAGGGTTAAGAGATTGCCAAATATTCTTTCAAGACCAGACAGGTAGTTTCCACACTCCAAAGTTAGTTAGAACCTCCAGCCTATGAAATGTCCTATCTTCTAAGTTAGGGAACAGCTAAGTAAATGAAATCAGAACTATTTTGAAAGCCTAAAGCAAGTAAAAATGCCATGTTTTCTGGAAGTTGTGCTTTCTGAACTGGTGAAGGGTAAAGAGAGAGCAAAATAAAGGGCTCCTTTTAAAGACCAAGTAGGTTAACTAACTGTACTAGTTTGCTAGGATTGCCCTGGCTTTAAGCACAGACTGTCTGCCATCCTGGGAAACCCCTCAGTCATGTGCACATGGGGACATTGGGTCACCTTAAAATAAAGACTTGATTAAGTTGTGATTGATAAAATTAAAATTCAGTGGGAAAAGATATCATGATTTTATACACTATGCATCTTTAATAGAAATAGAATAATACAAATATAAGTAGAAAATGCATAATGACTAAATGCTCTCTCAAGAAGCCATCCCTATCCAGGCAAATCCTGGCCAGTTTGCCATGCAGTTGTAGTAGTTCACTTGGTAGCACTTATTCTAATTCCAAACTTGATCCCTAGAAGGGAATACTTAGCCTTTATAGGGCTCTTTGTGAAAAGCAAACCTTAAAGTGACACCAAACATCCTATGGGCCAAGAAAAGGGAAAGTTTCCAAAGGAAGTTGTTTAACATTTCCAACAATGGAAGGTCAAGGCTGATGGCAGGGTGGGATGGAAACAGGATTCCTGGGCCCAAGGAGGAATGGTGGAGGCAGGTGGGGGGAACCAGTCCAGCCTCAGACCATTTCTGCAAGATACTTGTCAGGGAAAGGAAGTAAGGCGATGAGACAGTAGCTAGGTTAGCAAGGTCAAGAGAGAAATCTGTCAAGATGGAGGGAAGTTGAGAATGTTAAAGACAGAACAAAAGAAATCAGAGATGAATGCTTATGTGGGGCTTGTTATTAGTCTTAGCAAGGAGTAAGAGCAAACCTCTGCCCTCTGTGTTCAGACTGTCCCTGGTAGATACATATATGCCAAGACATTTATCCAGACCATCCAGGATCCTTCCCTCTACCCAGCCACATATTTAAGCCTAGCTCAAGACACAGCCTCTTCCCATGCACTCTTCCCTCTTTCCCTAAATGACTCTGTGCCCTTGAGGGTCTGGACTCTGGGAGACAGCCAATGTCCATGGAATGTTATTGCCATCATAAGGTAACAGCTAAAATGAAAGCAGTCTAAGTAAGAGTAAGAAAGAGAAGATAAATAAAAGACCTAAACTGAAAAGGTTTTGGAAAGTTTACAGATTAGATCCATGACGTTGAATAAATCTCTAAGGCAAGGAAACTTCCAATATTTAGAGTCCCTTTACTCCAAACTGTGATTGATTGATTAATCGATTGATTGATTGATTTTAGGAAAACCCTACCATTTGCAAGGCCACCCCTATCCTTTGCAGGACCTGGGGCAAGGGTACAAAGGGAACCCCATATGCCACATGACTAAATATTTAAATGTGCTACATCATGCTAACAAATGTGGCACACCCACACCCCTTCTCAGCCTAACCTGGCTTCCACCCAGCACAGAGGAGCTGTGTGGGCACAGAGATAAGGTTGAGCTTCCAGCACACCAGCCAGACCTAGGGATTTGCACAGCAGCAACTTCTGAATGACTATGAAAGACTTCCCCACACTTTCCAATAAGGCTTGAGGCTGTTTGCACTGGGAATTCAGGGTCCTTTACATCAAGTGTGTTCTAGAACCTGGAGGTGGCATGTCCTCTTGGCCCTTCAGAAGCTTAGCATGGCAAGAAGAGGGCCAGATTGGGTGCCTAAGGCAGGAGTTTTTCTTGCCTGGGCTTAAGAGCCATACTGAACCCAATTTCTTTCCCTAGAGTTTTATTTCATGTTGACTTCTCCTGATTTGACTGTCTGGTTTTTAGCACAATGACCTTTCAAAGAACTCAGGGACAAGGCTTCCTACCATGTTAACTGCACTAGCACATAGTAGGCAGAAAAAATTGTTCCTGCCCAGCCAACTCATTCGCACCAGGCTTTGGGGCTCCAGTGAGGCTGAAAGGCTCTAGCCTTCAGTTCCTTTTTCATCAGATAAAGCAAATTACAGATTATATCCTGACAAAGGATGAGTACGGTTTTCAAATTTAAAATGGAAGTATAATTTCTGATGGCTTCTAAAAGGGAACAGTTTTGTGCATGTTATTTAGATATAAATCAAACCACGTTGTGACTTTAGCTCAACCATCTAAGATAGAGTAGGGAGCTGATGCCGTCCCTGGTCTTCTTACCCAGGCTGAGGTCAGGTTTGTGTTAGAAGGAGCTGAAGGATGGAGGAATTGGAGTTTGGCTCAAGAACAGCTGTGAGTGAGGGTGATACACTCAGGGAATACACTCCATGCTGGGAGTTAGCAAACCTGGCTCTACTCCTCACCTTGCTGGACGACTGGTAAGCCGCTTACGTTTGAGCCCGTTTCCTTCTCTGGTCAACCTAGGTAACTTAAAATATTCCTTGTAAAATTCTGACCATCTCTGGGAGGGACGGTGGATGAGCGGGGATACTGTGAGCAATTTGAACCAAGGAAATTTAGTTCTGGGTCCCTGAAAACTATTTGCTTCCTTCTCCTGGAGGCAATGGTGGAGATGACATCGGAGTCTTGACAGGTTTCCAGTCTTTCCTAAATTCGGAGGACATTAAGGACTTTGTGCAGGTGTGGGCTCAATGAGAAACTTTTACTCACAGCAGGGGGAAAAATAAGCCTTAAACTTGAGCTTTGGGCTGTGAATTTTGACTGAAACAGCTGCCCTTTTCTTGAATCCACAGGTACTGTGCTATCGGGCGTGTGGTATTGGGGTTCTCACGATAAATGGGACACCCCAGCTAAAACACCCCAAAACCCTCATTAGGCCAGCAGGGTGCCTGCTCAAAGCCTTTCCCCAGGGGGGCTGAAAGCGTCTGTTCTGGGAGGTCTGGCACAAAATAGGGCCTCCATGAATATTTACCAAATGAATGAATGGTCGCCTGCCATTCTCTTTGTTCAACCACACTCCAGGCCTAAGCTCCTACGATGACACCCAGGCCCCGAATTCTGCCAGTTCCATGACCACAACTGGACGGTGTGGACGTAGGCAGAGAGGCCGGTAGAAAGGGTGAGGAAGGGAATCCAGTGGATCCGGCACGTTAGGGAAGGCGGAAAAAAGTCCTTAGAGACTCAGGGCCGACAAAGGGCCAGGCGCAGGCGACCCAACCCGGCGAGCCCCGGAGCCCCGGATGGGTAGCGAGGGTGGCCTCCTGGCCCCGCGTGGTCCACATCGCGGTCCGGACCCGGCCCGGCGCCCGGGCCCCGCACAGCGCCCTCCCGCAGCCTCCGCCCCCGGGGCGGTGCCGGGAACACGCGGCGCCTCCGCCGGTCACGTGGGGGCCGCTCGGGCGGGCGGCGCTGCCGCTTCCCGATCGCGCCCTTCCAGCGCCGGGGACGCGGCGCTCGCGCTCCCGCCCGAGCCTGGGGAAGCCGAGACAAGGAGGCGCCGCCGCCCCCTCCCCGCGGCCGCGCCCCGGCCCTGCGCCCGCAGCATGCCCGCCGCCGGGCCCCGCGCCACCCTCCTCCCGGAGCTCGCTGGGGCGATGACGCTGCCCGCTGCGGGGCGGCGGCTGCGAGGGTAGCGGGGCCGGAGTCGGGCGCCGAGGCGCGGCGAGGCGGGCGGAGCGGGAGGAGGAGCAGCATCCTCCGCGGCGCGGCGCGCCCATGGCCCGCGAGGAGGGAGCATGCGAGCTGCACCCCGCGCCGGCCGCCGCCTCCCCCCGCGCCGCGCGTTCGGCGCCCCCCAGAGCTGCTCGCGTCGCCGCCGCCGCCCCCCAGCTGCGGGCGCCCGGCCGCCGGCTGCGCTAGGACCCGCGGCCGCCGGAGGGCTGGTGGGCGGGCAGGCGCGGGAGCGAGACGGCCCGGGAGCCGGGCGCCGGCCCGGGCGCAGGGCGGCATGTAGCTGCGGGCTCCCGCGCCCGTGCGACGGTGTCGGCCCGGGACCGCGCCATGGCAGGGAAGGACAGTGGCAACCTGAAGACGGTGAGGCTGTGGCGGGACGCCGCCCTGCGCGCCAGGAAGCTGCGGAGCAACCTGCGCCAGCTCACTCTCAGCGCGGCTGGGGGCTGCCCTGGGACCGGAGGCGACCCGCTCGAGTCCCCCGATTCCCCCCAGCTCGTGCTGCCGGCCAACATCGGGGACATTGAGGTGCTGAACCTGGGAAACAACGGCCTGGAGGAGGTGCCCGACGGGCTGGGGTCGGCGCTGGGCAGCCTGCGCGTCCTGGTCCTCCGCAGGAACCGCTTCCCCCGGCTGCCCCCGGCGGTGGCCGAGCTCGGCCACCACCTCACCGAGCTGGACATCAGCCACAACCGGCTGACCGCCCTGGGCGCGGAGGTGGTGAGTGCCCTGAGGGAGCTGCGCAAGCTTAACCTCAGCCACAACCAGCTGCCCGCCCTGCCCGCCCAGCTGGGCGCCCTCGCCCACCTGGAGGAGCTGGACGTCAGCTTCAACCGGCTGGCGCACCTGCCCGACTCCCTCTCCTGCCTCTGCCGCCTGCGCACCCTCGACGTGGACCACAACCAGCTCACCGCCTTCCCCCGGCAGCTGCTGCAGCTGGCGGCCCTGGAGGAGCTGGACGTGTCCAGTAACCGGCTGCGGGGCCTACCTGAGGATATCAGTGCCCTGCGTGCCCTCAAGATCCTCTGGCTGAGCGGGGCCGAGCTTGGCACGCTGCCCGCCGGCTTCTGCGAGCTGGCCAGTTTGGAGAGCCTCATGCTCGACAACAACGGGCTGCAGGCTCTGCCCGCCCAGTTCAGCCTCCTGCAGAGGCTCAAAATGCTCAACCTCTCCTCCAACCTCTTTGAGGAGTTCCCTGCCGCGCTGCTTCCCCTGGCCGGCCTGGAGGAGCTCTACCTTAGTCGCAACCAGCTCACCTCCGTGCCATCCCTTATCGCGGGCCTGGGCCGGCTCCTCACCCTGTGGCTGGATAACAACCGCATCCGATACCTGCCGGACTCCATCGTGGAGCTGACCGGCCTGGAGGAGCTCGTGTTGCAAGGGAACCAGATCGCCGTGCTGCCAGACAACTTCGGCCAGCTGTCCCGGGTGGGCCTGTGGAAGATCAAGGACAACCCACTGATCCAGCCCCCCTACGAGGTCTGTATGAAGGGGATCCCCTACATCGCAGCCTACCAGAAGGAGCTGGCCCACTCCCAGCCGGCCGTGCAGCCCCGCCTCAAGCTGCTCCTGATGGGCCATAAGGCTGCAGGAAAGACCTTGCTCCGCCACTGCCTCACTGAGGACAGAGTGGAGGGCAGCCAAGGAGCAGGGGACAAGGAGAAGAGCTTCCCACCTTCACCTCCCCCCGTGAGCAAAGGCATCGAGGTGACCAGCTGGACGGCTGATGCCTCCCGGGGCCTGCGCTTCATCGTGTACGATTTAGCTGGCGACGAAAGTTACGAGGTGATCCAGCCCTTCTTCCTCTCCCCAGGGGCCCTGTATGTGCTGGTGGTCAACTTGGCCACCTATGAGCCACGCCGCTTTCCCAGCGCCGTGGGCTCCTTCTTGCGTCGGGTGGGGGCGCGGGTGCCCCACGCCGTGGTGTGCATCGTGGGCACGCACGCGGACCTGTGCGGGGAGCGAGAGCTGGAGGAGAAGTGTCTGGACATTCACCGCCAGATCGCCGTGCAGGAGAAGCACGACGCGGAGGGGCTGAGCCGCCTGGCCCGGGTGGTGGACGAGGCGCTGGCCCGGGACTTCGAGCTGCGCTCGGCCAGCCCCCACGCGGCCTACTACGGCGTCTCAGACAAGAACCTTCGGCGGCGCAAGGCCCATTTTCAATACCTGCTCAACCACCGGCTGCAGATCCTCTCCCCAGTGTTGCCTGTTAGCTGCAGGGACCCCCGCCAGTTGCAGCGCCTGCGGGACAAGCTGCTCTCCGTAGCTGAGCACCGAGAGATCTTCCCCAACTTGCATCGAGTACTGCCTCGATCCTGGCAGGTGCTGGAAGAACTGCATTTCCAGCCACCTCAGGCACAGCGACTTTGGCTAAGCTGGTGGGACTCCGCGCGCCTGGGCCTGCAGGCGGGTCTGACGGAGGACCGACTGCAAAGCGCCCTTTCCTACCTGCATGAGAGCGGCAAGCTGCTCTACTTTGAGGACAGCCCGGCTCTCAAAGAGCACGTCTTCCACAACCTCACCCGCCTCATCGACATCCTCAATGTCTTCTTCCAGAGGGATGCTTCCTTGCTGCTGCACAAGCTGCTCCTAGGGACCAGCGGAGAGGGCGAGGGAGAGGGGGAAAGTTCGGCCACCATGGCGCTGTCCACGCCTAGCCAGGACCTGCTCCGGGCCACCCAGCTCCATCATTATGTGGAGGGCTTTCTGCTGCATGGGCTCCTGCCAGCCCATGTCATCCGGTTGCTGCTCAAGCCTCATGTCCAGGCCCAGCAGGACTTGCAGCTGCTCCTGGAACTGCTGGAAAAGATGGGACTCTGTTACTGCCTCAATAAACCCAAGGGCAAGCCTTTGAATGGCTCCACCGCCTGGTACAAATTCCCATGCTATGTGCAGAACGAGGTGCCCCATGCAGAGGCCTGGATTAACGGGACCAACCTGGCCGGGCAGTCGTTTGTGGCTGAGCAGTTGCAGATCGAGTACAGTTTTCCCTTTACCTTTCCACCTGGGTTGTTTGCACGCTACAGTGTCCAAATCAACAGCCACGTGGTGCACAGGTCGGATGGTAAATTTCAGATCTTTGCTTACAGAGGGAAAGTTCCTGTGGTGGTGAGTTACAGACCTGCCAAGGGGGTCCTGCAGCCAGACACCCTGTCCATTGCCAGCCATGCTTCATTACCAAATATATGGACCGCGTGGCAAGCCATAACCCCCTTGGTGGAGGAACTGAATGTCCTACTTCAGGAATGGCCTGGACTGCACTACACTGTGCACATTCTCTGTTCTAAGTGCCTTAAGAGAGGGTCGCCCAATCCACACGCTTTCCCAGGTAAGTGGGGAGAGGGGCACGGTTCTTCTGTGGTGTGTTTTAAGATGCAGTTTTGAAGATATTTGTTTCTCATTTGGCAGAACTTTTGTTTAACCTCAGAGGTTCTCTAGGAAAGCTTTTCAAGGTAAATGTAGGGCGATTTGGAGACAAGCTAAAGACAGGAAGTTCCTGATCCATATGAAATATAGTCACAAGTGTCATCCTCTCCTAATAAACTCAGATTTGCAAAGTGTGTTCCAGTTAAAACATTTTCTGTCTCTTTTCCCCTTTTTTCTTTGTAGCCCACATTTTGTGGGAAAAAATTTCAGGCAGTTGAACAAGAGCTGGGTAGTGTCTGATGTTAGCCTCTTGCAGAGTCTTGGCTAAAGTTCGTATTAGACATATTTCCAAGGGATGAGTTTGAGTTTCAAGTGTCTAGTGTCATAATCTTTTGTTTAAATGCAGAGTGTCATAATAAAGTAAAAATGACTGCTCACTTTTCTTAAGAAATTCCAGACAAAATGTTTTGCAATCAGGGGGAATGATGGACGAATAAAGACAAAAATTTCAGGCTGTAATGCATGACTAAGTCCTGGGATTGCTGCTTCACTCAGCACACTCTAGGGCATGAAAGATAGATTACTGCAATCTCTGAGGGGAGTTTCCTTGGGTGTTTCCTGTCAATTTTGAGCTCTGTAGACATCTTAAGGTTTGTTTTTTGTTAAGTGTTAAGAGAAGGGTGCTTTCTGGCATTGCTTAGTAAGAGATGAAAGGAACAAGAAACTGACAAGATTTTTCTCTTCTGGGGAGTGTTTTCTAACAGACTTGTTTTTCGTTTTAAACCATTATAGTGGAGTGGAGAATTTCAGGATTAGTTGTCTGGGTTTTCTTTTTTATTGTAAAGACTTTTATATTTTTAGAGCAGTTTTAGGTTTATAGCAAAACTGAAGAGAAGGCACAGAGATTTTCCATACACCCGCTGCCCCATACATGCATAGCTGGTCCTATTAGCCATATTCCCCAGCAGAGGGGTACAATTGTTACACTCCATGAACCTGCTTTGACACATCATTATTACCCAAAGTTCATAGTTTACACAGAGTTCACTCTTTGTGTTGTACATCCTATGGGTTTAGACAAATGTATGATGACATATATCCACCATTATAGTACGATACAGGGTAATCTCACTGCCCTAAAAACCCTCTGTGCTCTGCCCATTCATCCTGTCCCCCAACCCCCAGCCCTGGCAATCACTGCTGATCTTTTTTACTGTCTCCATAGCTCTGTCTTTTCCTTGTCTGGGATTTTTTTTTTTTGAGCCTGGTTAATTGGTAACAAACCATTCTTTAGTTGGGAACATGTCTATGTCCTCATCCTTTGTAGTTCTTTAAACAACTGATTTTTGTGGAGCAGGCTTGGTTATATATAACAATGTTCAGAGTGTCCTAAGCACAAACCAGACAATGGTATCCTCCCATGTTTCTCACCTGGATCCCCCACCCCCAGGGTACATTGAGGGGAGGTGAAATGGAAGACTGCATGTCACTCTGATCTTTGCCCTGGTCAGAGTGCCAAGAAGAATGCAGCTCGTAACAGTATCAGGAAGGAATTGGATACCAGCATTTCCGAAGGTAACATCTTTCCGTTGCCCTAGATCTAGGCTGAGTTTAATACTTCAGTGTTAAAAAAGCCACCCTATTTGGTTTCCAGTTAAATGAGCCATCCATTCGGTATAATTAACTGGTTTGTTGTCACAGTGTGTGACTTGGTGGGATCTTCAGCTTGTTTTATATTTGCCATTGTATTTTATTCATGGAAGAAAATACTTCTTTATCATGTTACTAAATTGAATAAAGTGGTTGGGAGTTACATATTTACAGGGTAGTTTATTGAAGGAGCTACCTGAAGCCAATTCTTAATCTAAAGATGGAGCATTAATAAAACTAGTGTAAACAACAAAGGGAAAGACATAGGTTATTGAACAAGTTAAGATCTTATTACAACTTTGAGGACCAAACAGTGAGGCTGGATTTTTCTTTTTTTCTAATTTCACCTCTTTAGCTTTGATTTTTAGCAGTCAAATGTGCAGAGAGGTAGAAACAAGCCTATTCTCTTGAAGTTTTTTTTTTTTTTTTGGTCTATTTGCTTTTCAAATGAGGCACACCTGGTTTTGCAACCAAGGCTATAAGGAAAAGATTATTGTTTTCAATATGAAAAACATAAATGGTTGGAAAATTGTGAAATTATCTTAAATATTGAATAGGAATAAAGCATCAGTTTTTATGCTATAATTGTAAAATATTTATAAATGTAAATATAAACATTTATGTCTTATTTAAAGTCTTTTTTGATTTGTTTAGGATATTTTTTCCAAAAGTAGCATAGGGCACAGAGTGTAGTGGTAAAAGATGGCTATAGTATATTTTTCATTGCATTAAGAAGACAGAGTGAAAACATATTTTCCTTTTTTATATATTTCTGTGATAGCCATGACTTATTAGTAATTGTACAATTCTGAAAGACTTGTAAGAGCTAAAATAATAAAAGCTAGAAGCTGATGTAGAAACAGAGTTATCATGTTGGGTGTGCAGTTAGGGCATACGTTAAAATATGTTCATTGCATCCCTACATTATTAACATACACTTTAATTCAGCAGAAAACTTTGTATCTATTGGTAGCCTTTTGTCTTTTTAAGAGGTCTTTTGCTTTTGAGGAGCATTTAAAATATCAGTTAGTTTTATGTTTTATTAAAGTAACAAGTTGTCCTGTAAACTATAGTAACTTTATATACAATGGTGAAAATGTTGGATTTTTAATTTTTTTTTTTTTACTTTGGGATATTAAAAATAAATAGGAAATTACTATCTCCTTTGATTTTATACAGAAGAAAGGTGACGTTGTACTAATGTCTTTTAAAATGTTTTTATGTGAAAAGCTTGTTTTGGCCCTGTCCTATTGATTTTTGTGGGCTGAGCTGCACTAATGTAGTTGACTGAAGGAAGAGTCATGTTTGATTTCTCTTTTCTTATCTTGGTTTACACAAGAAATGTAATGTTTTGGTAAATGCTCCCATGCACTCACCAGTTTTAAAAGTTCTTGTAATAAAGATGTAGTCTCGTTGTTAAAGAGATTACCTATTTGTTTTATTTAAGACGAATGGGTTGAGTGACAGGAGATTCTTTTCAAACTCCAAGGTGTCCTACCAGGAAGCTTCAATGTCATTGTGAAAGCCTTTACCTGCTTTTTGCAGGTATCTTTTTTTTTTAGTAGACCTAATGCCTGCATCTAGTAGCCTGGATTCTCTTCCTTTTGCTCATTTCTTTCTTGTTACTTGGTCCTGTGTTCTTGTCCTAGAGCAAGTTTCTTCTTGTGGGGTATTTATTTATGCTTTTGTTTTGTCCTTGCCAATATGACATCTAAACTAAAAAGTCGATCCTCCTGAGGTTGAAAAATGTATGGTATATTAAGATGTGGCAGCTAGAACATAGGCCTGCAGCAAGATTCTAGTGCCTCGATGTTGCATTTAAGCAGGTGAGTGAATGCTGTGTTTTTAAATTGGAAGAGTATGTCTTAGTGAGTCGAACTTGCTTTGAGTGTGAGTTTTCACTGACTACCCTCCTTTCCAAATTATTGAAGGTCATCTTTAAGAATAATGAGAAAGCAACCCAAATCAGTAGACAGAATTAGTTGTATGGTTTTCTTTAACATTGGTGTCTTTCAATTCACTCAGTAACTTGATGCCCTTCTGTATCTCCTGCCAGATGTCTTCTGTCCCTCTTCAGTTTCCTGCACACAGTGCATACCTCTTGGACGACACTCAGCATATTTTGACTTGTTCTGTTCATGTTTGTGTATGTCATAATATCTCTTTGATTACGTCGTTCACTTGGCTTCCGCTGAGCAAGGGTTCTCCTTGCTACATGCCTGAGGCTTTGCAGCGTCTCAGATGTTTGCTGAATGGTAGTTTGATCTTTTGTGAAAAGTATCTTTGTTTCCTTGTTATTAACATAGTCTGTCAAATTCCCAGGTAGTACTGTAATAACAATATTGCTTTGTTCTGCTTCCCAACTCCCGCTGCCCCCTCCCAAATGTTCCTCTGGCTTCCCTGTTGTGCCTCTATTACTGGTCTTGGCCTTGAATGGGTCCTTCATTTTAACCACTGAAGCAAAGCAAAATTCTTGCCTTATTATATCTAAGTTTGAGAATTACTGGAATCTGAGCATGACCTAGTTGTTTGGGTTGAATTAGTCATTGTTTGTAATTTCACAAAGGTTATTCAATATCTCATTGGTTCAGCTTTATTAATATTGATGCCTCTTGGCTTTTATTTTTATGAGCAGTGCTCTTTGAACTCTCTGGATCTTTGTTTTATATAAAAATCAAAACTTTAATCATGCAGTGGAAGAAAGGAATACTGTACAGAAACGAATTCAAAGGCTAGCAAGGGCTTTGGAGTGTTCAATTTATTTTAAGTATTGGATGCCTCTTCTTTAAACCCTGGAATGGAATCTCAAGTCTGTCTTTGCCCAAATGGTTGAGCATTTCCTGGAGAAAGTAGTTTTTGTTTGTTGGCAGGTGTTTTGTGGCATGTTCTGCAGTTACGCCCCCTGTGTCTGGGAAGAGGTGAAGGGCTTCTTCCCCATTGAACAGGAGGGGCATGGATGGGGAGAGGCTGGTATTAGATGTTTCTGGTTGTTTTCTCCCTCCACCCATTAACTTGCTTCTCTCCATGGGAGCCTGTTTTGGTTAAAGCACCTGACTCTCCATCCATGTGGGTGCCTTTTGTTGTTCTTGGATTTTGTTTTTTGAAAACCAGGGGCGGGTACAGGCCTGACTCTCCTGCCTTCTCTTGTCTCTGGCAGCCGTGGCACCCCTGTGCCTGGGGGTGGAGAGCTACTTTTGTTTCCAGACGCTGTGCAAAGTACACCAGGTATGGTTGGCTTGGGGTAGATCCAGTCACGTCTCAGTTCTCCCTGGCTTGGATTTTCTAATTGCAACACCAGCTGCTGGGGGGTCA